TGAATCGCGTCGTTGAAGACGTTATTCGCAGCATCTGCGCTGAGACGCCGAAGCGCTACAGCGCTATGTTGCCACTCGTAGATTTTGCTCTGAACAATGCAGTACATTCATCTACTGGCTACACGCCGCTTATTTACTCTCGAGTCCCGCTGACGCCGCCATCACATGGCTCAGGGCTTGGTGGGGGAGGAAGAGCGGCTAGCTGATGTCAGCACCCTCACCGTAGGTAAAGAGGTTGGAGACTACCTAACTACCAGACTGGGTGTCTTACGACACGTTTGAGATGCGAAGGCTGAAAGCCAAGAAATGCAGAAGGAATATGCAGACGGAAAAGCAGGAAGAAATGTGGAAAACATTAAGGTCGGAAAACTGCTCGTTTAAGATGCTAAAAAATTTCCCACACATGCAGTTTCTGCTGTCTTTAAGATGAAGCTTCGTCTTTCGGTTTATTAGACTTTTTAAGGTCGTGGCCAAGCGAGTCTTAGCGTATACGCCGAACCTTTCGAGAAGAAAGTGCAACCTCCCGATTTTTGATGTGGGCTTGCTTAAGCCGTACTGGGATCCGGCGCAAGTGAACGCGAAAGCGTTGGCACCGAGGCGGCACTCAAAGGCGCTCGGCCAGCCAGAAATTGAACCAGCAACAAGTCGTGAGTACGGAATGTAACAACTTCCGTATTCAACGGCGAAAGGCGCTCCACCGTCCCGTCGCACGCTTATGATCAGAAGGATCGTGACGCTTTGCGTCGTCTTGCGCACCGCGCTTCTCGGCAGTAGCCCGAGAAGCCGGTGGGCCATGAGCTTATATCAAGCTATGGCCCTGAGCTGCTGTGGTCGTAAAATTACCCATGTGAGCAACCACAGATTTTATTTATCATTAAATAATTAATTATTACAATTTATTGGATTTACATCGAATATACTAAATAATATTCCGAAATAATTATTTTTAATAGCTGAAAGAAATATAAATATCACTCCAATAGAAATTCCATTATCCTCATCAGCTTTTTGCACTACTTCTCCATTTAATTCTAAAATCTCGCAAGATCGTTCTGGAATCTTCCATATGTCGCAGGGTGACAATACACAGGAAGTCGGCGTTGAGCCTTGATTTTGGCAATCATATATCTAAGATAGCGCTCAGCAGGCAAGTCCATTTCCTTGTTGCTTCGCTGTAAGGTACACAGCGAAGAAAGTATCCGGTTCCGCTGTACCCATCGCTCCCAAAACACATCATCATCTGCAGCAGTTTCGCCAGAGGCAAGCACCACAGGGATGCTCCGCATTACGGGAACAGGAGCACGTCTTTTGAGCTCGAAGTCGAGCGCGGTACCGATCCGTTGGGATCTCTTGGGGTACCAAAAATTGAGCTCGCAGAGCTTTCCGCTAATTTAAACTCAGCTTGTGTAGTGACCGGAGGCCCGACAACGTAGACGCCTAACTATCGAGTGATCGCGTCTTTCGCTTCACTAGTGGGATCC